TTTTTTTTTTTTTTTTTTTGCACTTTGTCATTATATTCATTCATGGGGAAGATTAAAAATGAATTTTTGTGACCGGTTTGAATGTTAATGCGACAGGTGCAGAGCTGTTAGATTGACATGAACTTGCAGTCTTGAAAGTTCTCTATACAGTGGTTGCCAAGCTGCGAATGGTTTGATTGTGGTGAATGAAATCCAATTTAGTTGAAAAGGTTCAGCATGATATAGAAATAGACCACATCTCAGTAGTTTTTGATTGTGGTGAATTAAATCCAAATTTCGATTAGTGAATATTTTGTGTGCATTTTAACTGGAGCACTTCTACAGCTCGGTCATGCTTGCTTACCCTTTCACGTGGGTCTGGGGTGTGAAGAATGAGTTGCCATCTTGAAGTATGGATACGGTACTCTAGTAAGATTGTCAATCCTAGAAGAGATAGATATACTTCAGGCGAGCATGCATGCTCTGAATGATCCTCATCTTATAGTTTTTTCATGATTGCACAAGGCAACTAGTGGAATAACATGAAGGAGTAGTTTCATTTTTTTCTTCCTCAAAAATATTGGCCTCTGCTATTTTCTCCTTTTTTCCAACTTAATTTTGTCATGAAATGAGTAAAAGCATCATAGGAGTTATGGAACTTAAGGATATGATAAATACAGAAAAATTAGAAACCCCCATGTTGTGGTACATGATTGTCCCTATTGTGTTTTATCCATAATCTTTCTCTGGAGATGGCGCATATTATAGTACATATGAAATCTGGACATTTTAAGTAATCTTCTTGCTTATATTGACAAATACATGGAACTTTCATCTTGCCCACCTTATTGTTCCACTAATTCATTTGTCCTCTTTGAAAGGCTTCTGTAGTTTGATACATTTTAGTATACTATAGATGTCACAGAAATGTAAAACTTCTTTTTAACTTGGTCAAAGGAAAATAATACCAAAGAGAGAATCAAATTCCTGGTGTATTTGGTTCCATTTCGTCAATATCGAGAAATCAAACATTTGTTTCTTGAGGGAGGGAATTGGATTTTTACACTGACTCTTTATCTTGCTTTCTCTCATGTTATTTAGTTGTGGATGCCACATGCAATCAAAATGGTATTTTTTGTGGTTTAGAGGGAATCTGGAATCTCAACCTTCAGCTTCGAAGTTTCATGCTGCTCTCCATATTTCTATAATATGCTAGCAGGCTGCTTAAATCTAACTAATTTTTTATTCTGTGAACTCCTATTTCTTCTACAAGCTCAATGTTAGGTGCTTTAGGTGTTTGTTGACCATACATTTTGCTTCATCTGGTGTCGCATCTATAAAATTCATCATATATTTTATTTCAGTTTGCTTGCTCGATCTAACGCATATCGTTTATTATTTTGCAGATTTGTTATGCTTAACTTATCTGAGGGATTGTTAATTTCATGAGAACTTTTACGTATGAAAAGAAGTGGCATGTTTGATTTTCAAAAACAGACTCTTCAATACCCAAGAAACATTTCCATTCTGCTAATGATGGAACATGTTTAGTGTGATTGATCTCCGAAAGGTAACAATCTAGCCGTCTATAATAAGTGAGTCATGTTACTTGCATTGCAGCTGGTGGATGGGTCAAGTTTCTAGGTTACTATATTCAGTAAATTTCCACACATAATTTCATTTTAAATCTTGTTGGGCACAGAGTTTTCCTAGTGAAAAAATGAGTTTCTTGGAGAATGTGTGGTTAAAAAGTGGGGAAAAGTTGTGGTGGGTCCATAGAACGGGTGATTTAAATATGATTTTGGAGAAAAATGATGTTTAAAAGAAAAATCTTTGACTAACAAGCCTTTAATAAATATATAAAGCATGCATCTGTCATATCTGAAGCCAAGCCTTTTTAGTTGTGCTGCTACCTCCCTGAAGCCAATTTTCTATTTCTTTTCCTACGACTAATAAATGTTTTTGGCCCCCTGGTTATAAGGCATGTCTATACAATGTTTACTTGATGAGCTACACACCCCTTACTATTTTCTGTGTTTTAAAGACATTGATTCGAAATAATTTGTGCAGAAACCCTTGTAATAATTGACAAGTTGTAGAAATTGGATGGGTAGTTGAGCAGTGATAATTGAATTGATGCATAGAAATTCTGTGAATGTTTCCAAGGAGGATAGAAAAGTGTTCATGTACTTCAACATCAATTAACTAATTGGCCTATATTTTGGTGGCAGCCAAAATATTACCTCTTAAATAAATGTCTGGGTGATGAGTCAAAATGTAGAATTGAATGTTTTCAATAAGTCTTTTTCTTATTTTCCTGTAATTTGCTTCCCTGATAACAAAATTTTATGCGGTGAGTCAAATTATGTGATTGTTTGGTAGATCCAGAGATGTGAGACCTTTAGTGTTGAATGGACAATTCATCCACTTGATTTTGATACTTCCAAAAATTTATGTCACTGTGATTGATTACACAAAGAGTTGTATGCTAGGGGATGGCTACAATAGAAAGTGTCGAACTAATTCTGAACTGTCCATTGAATTTATAGAAAGGACTTTCTTTCACCTGCCCTCCAAGGAAAGTTTCTGAGCTTTGGAAATGGAAGAAAAGCTATCATTTTTCTTTTTTTTTTCTTTGTTATTTATCTTGTATTTTCTATAAATCTGCATGGAATATATGGGTATCAATTATCAGTCTTTGAAATAATCACTGAATCCTTGTTTCCTTGCATGACACAAATGTATAGCAGCTATAGCTTATGCCCATAATATTGGAGTGAGAACCCATTATATTACCTGAACACTTTATATGAAGCTGTCTGCATCTGGATGGAGCCAGAAGGCTGGCTTCGAGAGGACCATTATTCCACGCTGGTATAGGCCATGTGGAAGACACTAGTTAAATTGATTGAAAAGGATTTCACAAGTGAACTGGGGAGAAGTTTGTTGTAGAAAATATAAAATAAAATATGTGCTTTGTCCACAGTATAGATTTTCATATATGTATTATGTGCTGTTCATTCACAGGTTTTGAAATCAATTCACAAAAAGAGTTAGTGTTTTCTGCTTGACCTAAAATCATTATGAAAATATGGGAGTAACATACGTTGCCAAACTCACTTTTCTTTTTAGGAAGAAATGAATGAACAGAGGGGCAATGCTTCCTAGAACGGGACAAAGAATAGGAGCACAAATATCAAAATAGCAAAGATCTAACATAGAGTACAATTGATTTTTGAAGAGAGGATAATTCTCGCTTGGCATTCCTGAATATACTGCAAACACATGGTAGATTCTCTAGATTGAGTTTTTTGATCTCACTGTGCTCTGGTTATACTCTTATTTTGCTGCACATGATTAATTACTGTCTGTTAAACTATCGTTTATCTTGAACTTCTGTTTTTGTTTTGTTATTCCATGTTTTGATGTGTGACGTCTGCATCAATTTAGTTTTCAAACTTGGCACTTCCATTTATTTTCTGTGCACAATAAGATGAAACCATTTTTTCCCTAGATCTCAAGAAGACGTTATTCTTAGCTGCTGAAACTGGTCTTCAGAGGAGGTCTACCTCTAAATTTGCCTTCTCTTCAGCTTCTACAGTTAACTGAACGTGGTCGGGGCCTTGTGGCCTCGAGGAGGTAAATAATAACTCTCTTGTGATTTTATTTATGTGAATCTCTTTCCCCTTTTGCTGCTGATCAGTTGCTACTTTTATTGCTGAGTACGGTACAATGTCTGATTGATTTGGCAAGGAAATGTATTAACCCCCTCTTTGGTTTAGAAATCACATTTTTGGTAGATTTTAATAAAAGTTGATGACATGTGGGTTTAAAAGGTTGATAAAAGTTGTGGGTCCATGGTTAAAAATGAGTTTTAGAAAGTTGGGGCCAGACAGGGTCTAGGAGAGTTCTGATCAGCATATTAAGGGTTTATATACTTTGGATGGTTAAATGATCATTGTTACCATTGAAACTGAAATCATTCATGGATGCACATCACATATGATCATAGGAGAAGCCGATTAACACAATTCTCCTTTAGTGAAACAGAAATCAATCTTGGACATGTGATCATATTCATAGGAGAAGCTGATTAACATACTTATCCATTATAATATGATATTCTATTTCTACAGGCAAAACTCAGCTTTAATGGTATATCTGCTGCTACCAGTTCTCCTGCAAAATTGTTACATAGTCTGATTGGAGGATATTAAGAAATGTTGTTATGTTTGTTATATTCTCTACAAATGCTTCCATTAAATACAAGTATACTCCATAAATTACAAGATGTTTTTAGTTCATTTACGTCCAACCTTGATTAGCAGGGTCTTAACAAGGAGGGTAGAAATGGAAGCACCATGGTGACCTTTCATCAGATGTCCATCAAGCCCCAACACGAGACAAAATTAAAATATTATCAGATATTTTTGAAAGGGAAAAAGCACGCCAATGAGAAAAAGAAACGAGCAAGAGATCTCTATGGAGTAGGTGCTCAACATTTTTCTGAACCGTGTCCTTTTCATCTCAGAAATAGCTATACATTTAAAAAATTAAAACTCTCCTCATCTAATTAGACCAGTCAATAGGATTTGGTTCCGTTTTCTCCTTGAAGATTGAGGATAGACATCCAAAATGACTGTAGCTAGAAACTCTTTGGCAGAATGTTATGATGTTGGTTTTTGATTGTAACTTTCAATACCTTCCTCAATATGAAGTGAATGGGCGTAACATTTGCTTGTAATTTGCCGCCATGATGCAAATTAGATGATGGTGCATGCGTAAGTGCATAACCAAGTTTGCCATTGATCCGATGGTGTTGATATAAACTGAACCATACAATTAGGTTGCATATTCTCCCTAGTGATTATGGGTAGCAGAAAGTATAGTTCATACACCATAATTGTTGTTAATTGAAGTAAAGAGATGAAAAAATAGCATTCAATAATTTATCTGTTTTTTTCGGTTTGGTGGTTGGTTTAGATGGGTAGAAGTTGTTATAATAGAAAAAATCATGTACAGGCATGAGAGTTAACCAAAACTCATCTTCGTTTTTTAGAAACTGTTGGTTCCCAGTCATTTTGATTAGCCCTTGCAATAATGATTATGGGCACCAGGAGGCCTATTGACTGAATGTCTCAAGTCAACATCATGTTCAATTCTTTTCTAGCGACTTGTACGGCCTTAAATGTTTGTCTTTCTCGTCATAATATTGTTCTTTACGTTTGAGGAGGCTTTTTTACAATATTAAGGCCACCTGATACATCAAATTGCTATTATGTTTTACCACCATCTTGTTTGTTTTATGACTTAACAGCTTACCATTTGAACTATATATCTACCTAAATAATTTCCTGTGTGCATTGGATGCCTTTGATGTGACAAAGTGCAACAGGGGACACTTTTAAGGATTTTTTGGACTATTATAGAGGATTTGCTATCAAGTTGGATTTAACTTTTTAAGGATTTTCTTTGTAGTATTAGGATTTCTTATATGTATGAAATTGATAAGTTAGATTTCCTTTGTAGTGGAAAATCTTTCACGTTTTTTACCAGATGCATATTAGTGGTTCATTCACTTGCCTTGATCTCATTGTGATTTTTGAGCATTTTTTTTATCCGGTTGTTCCTTTCGTTTAACTACTTGAGTAGCACTTTATTGCCCACGTGTGACTTATGCTTTCTCTCTCAAAAGCAACTAGTAGTGTCAAGACCAATTGTTCTATTCTATACATAGGTCCCTACAAATCAATCCATATTGGTTTTTTGCTAGGATTCTGAGTTGTAAAGCCAAATCTTTATACACTGAACATATTTTGTGGGCCCTATGCAGGGAAAATAGTGCACAGTCTTTCATTTGCTCTTATGTTAGGCTAGAAATTGAGTATAAGAGGTCTTGAAAGCCGACCCCTTTAGTGCTTTCTCAAGGAAGTTGTTATGGTAATATAGAAATACAATAATTGAGTATAAGAGGGTTTGAGCTACTTTTTAATTAGGCTGATTTTGTAATATTTAACTTCAAGACTCAAGATCCTATAATGTTAAACATATATATAAAAGAAAAAAAAAATTTACATGTGCAATTCAACCCATTTAAAGCTCACATGAGTCGTCAGATATCAAAATTGGTATTTTTGACAGGTGATCGATAGTAATACCAATACAAGGATTTGCATTGCTGATTAATGCTGTCAACAGTATAATAACTCAACACTTATCCAAAGGGTCTCCTTAGAATTACTAACCCTTCAAGAATCCCTAGAGGTTATATCGATTATGTATAGTTTAAGAAAATACTACACAAGATTTAGAAAAAGATTCAGTTGGTGTCCATGTAAATTGATGCTTTTATTATATTGGATTAGATAATTAGAAATAAATCTTTACGATTGGGTACATCTAATCTTCAATTAATTAATAATTAGTGGGGATTACTCATAAAATTGTATGCAGCTTCCTCTAAAAGTGACACAACCTTCCTCCCACTATCTACAGTTTGTATATATATCCCAGCAAGAAATACACTTCACTTCATCTAAAACTTTGAGTCTCTCTTTATGCAGCCCACCAAGTAACACCTTCTTCCTCAAGAGTTCTTTACCTCACACACAAAGATATGGGGTATCAGTCTTCTTCTATGATCAGCTGTGAACTGAGAATCATCAGAGCTAAAAATATTGATCTCAAACCCACGGGAGAACTATTTGTTAGATGCTATCTGTCTGCAGGAAACAACAAAAGGGTCCAAATAAACACCCCACGAATCTCAACAAAATCTGATTTGATTTGGAATCAAACTTTCTCTTTAGACTGCTCGGGAAGTGACAAGGATGATTCCCTTTCCTCGCTCAAACAGGGAACTGTTGTTTTCGAGCTCCGATGGAGAAGCACTGCACCTTTCGTTGGCAGAATTAATGGCTCAAAATTGTTGGGAAGAGCTGAGATTCCATGGAAAAATGTTTTTGTATCACCAAATATGGAAATCGAGAACTGGGTTGTAATGACCCCAAAAGGTCAGAAATGGGTCGATGAAGATGCTAAGCCAGCTGCAGTGCAAATAGGAATGAAAATTCAAGAATCTCCACAGGCTTCAGTAAAGAGAAGGAAAAATGATAGAAAGTGGGATGAGTGTGGCTGCTGCATGGATGGTATGTGTCGTTCATGTGCAGATTATGACATATTTGCAATTGGAGCTGCTTTTGAAGCCTTGTAAATTTAGCTGACTAGGGTTGGTTCTTGCATTAAATTTTGGATTTAGTTTATTGGCAATTTCAGCTATTAAATTTTGCAAATTTTAGTTACTTTTTGCCTTTCCTCGAACATTTTCATCATTTTCAAGCTACAATCAAATATGACATACATAATAGTGTCCACTATTAAGCATTCAATATGTGGAACGACTGGCGGACATTTCAATAATGAAGAAGAAATTCAAGCCAAAAAATGAAGGATTTCAAGTTAGGTTAACGAATTTCTCCTTAGAGTTTCAATTAAGTTCGTGCTTTTGGATTTTGAGAGGTTTTCACTTCTCGTAGTTGTTCGTAGAATAATTATCAGCAAGAGATATGATTATCGTGTACAAGTAACATAAATGAAGATGTATTTTTTTTTTTTTTTAAATCTCGTTATTCAATTTTAACTACGGTGCTGGTTTTATTAAACCACAAATTTAGGTGTGACCAAAGGGCCATTCTAGGCTATGGGTTGTCCTAGCATGGTTCCCTTCAAGATTGGTCTCATCAGAATAATAGTTGTAAAAATTACATAATACCATACTTCAAAAATTCCACACTCTAAAATCAAGTGAAAAGTTTTCCTATTCAAAAATCAAAAAACCATTTTCTCGCTTATTTTTACTCTCTCTACATTTTTTTCTCTTTTTCTCACTCTACCTTCTTCTCATTCTCTCCTTTCTTCCCAATCTACCAATAAATTTCTCCCCAATCCCTTCCAGAAGACAAGAAGGCGCCACCAATTTTTGGACGTGGCACACTATTCCGACAATGATTTAGGGGCAAACTAGATCCCAACACCTCCGACAGCGGATGCGATTCCCCATTGTTTTTGTGCACGACGACAACGCGGCTCGACGACTGCTAATGAAAGTGTAGCCTTCATGGTAGTTCTGTCGATGCTGCAGGTCATTGTGGTGATGTGGTGTATCATTTGGTTTTGACGGTATTGAAGTGGTGTTGCTTGCAATTGGGAGATCTAGTTTTGTTGTGGATCTAATTTGTTGAGGTTTTTGTGTGTCTGTGGCGATGATTTTTTGGATCTAATTTGTTGAGGTTTTTGTGCGACTGTGGCGATGATTTTTTGGTTCTTGTTAGTGGCGGTGATTTTATTGGCGTGGCGAGGTGATGGTGTCGTTGGTAGTCCGGTTAGATGTTGGTGGTGGTAGTGGCACAGCGTTTGCTGTGAAGTCCAATGAGATGGTGGCGATTTTGTTGTGACGGCGAGGTGGTGTTATCTCGATTTATGCATTTCTGTGTTGTGTAGTGATCGTTGGTAGCGATATGGTATGGTAGCGACAATGGTGGAGTAGGTTAGGGTGGGTGAGATGGTGGTGGTGGTGAGGTGGCGTTGTACTGTGTTTGTGACCAATAAATTAGTTGAAAATTGTGATTGCAACTCATAATTGATTAAGTTGTAACCGAAAAATTAATCGTAATCAATTAATCCAATAATTTCCAATGAATAAAATGAGTTATGACCAATAAGTTTTTTACTCTGTGACCGATTAATAATCTATGACATGTAAAAATTTTAATTCGTGATCGAAAACTAATATGACTTACAAAAATTTTGATTTGTGACCAATAAATTGATAAGTGTGATTAAAAATTAGTTAAGAATTAATTTTTTGATTTGTGACCTACAAAATTTTTTAATTGTGATCGTAAAATAATTTGTAATATAAAATTTCTGATTTGTGACCAAAAAATAATAAGTGACTAATTAAATTGTTAATTTGTAACCAAATTGTATAGATATGTGATCTAAATATGTTTAATTAAAAAATAATTAATTCATTAATTCATTGAATCATATATAAATTTTAATAAAAATATAATTTTTGAAGTTGAAATTTGTTTTCTTAATTTTGAAATGTGTGATACTTAAACTTTTAGTTATAAAATTTTCCCATAATAATTCTATTCCAGGCCATATCAAAGATCGAGTTTAGCCTTTTTCTATCAATTCAGTTAGCCTCCCTTAGAAAAATAATATATATCATTTAAATTTTGTCTTCAATATGTTCCCTCTCATGTAGGTGAATTTCATTTCTTTTTTGTAGGGTAAATCTTTCCGTCACACCTGTAAATAAATAATTTCGTATTGTTATTAATTACTAAGTCGATATTCAAATAATATGTACCTCAACTATTAATAATCACTCGTGACCACAATTTTAGCATTTAGACTACATACCTTGATGTGGGATCTTCATTTGTTTTTAGGGTTGTACTTGGTGTACATAATTTGGATTTATAGAAGTATCTACATCCCTCACAAGGGGTGAGATCCGTGCGAGGATAGACCCCACCCCATGTAAGGGGTGTGAACAACCTTATGTACACCAAGTAGGGATGTCAACTAATCTAGTCGAGTCGGCTCGCGAGCCAAAATTTGAGGTTCGAGCTCCGCTCGGGTAAAATGAGCGGGCTTTTTTTCGAGCCCGAGCCCGAGCCGGGCCGAGCAAAAGCTCAGTGAAAAAAATTTTGCTCGACCCAAGCTTTTGACTCGGATCTTTACGGGCCGAGCTGGGCAGGCTTGTTTTTTTTACCTTTTTTTTAATATAATTATTAATGGCTGCCTTTTAAGGTAGCCACAGCCGGCAGCCCAACTGCGGCTGCCTCTTAAGGTAGCATTTTGCTGCCTAATTTTATTTATTTTATTTTCTTTCCTTCTCAAACTCGTGGGCCGGCTCAGGCTCAGCCCGTCCTCCTAAAATGAGGCTCTGCTCGAGCCTCGAGCCGAGCCGGCTCGGGCTTTTCCCGAGCCAAGCTACGGACGGCCCGAGCCGACACGCCGAATTGCCATCTCTCATCAAGACTTCTAATTTTTATTATTATTATTATTGCATCAACTCATTTACCACAATTGGGCTCTTAAAAATTTTGACAATTTAAAGCCCATTTACATTGAATTGACACAAAAACCAAGCCCAGTTTAAACCCTCCTCCTCTAAAACCGAATTCACCATTCACCATTGCTGACAGCTTCAGTGTTCAGTATCAACAATCTCAAAAAAAAAATGGGAAGTAGACTAGGAAGAAGAGTAGTATACTTTGCTAATCTCCCCATAAAACTCCTCATGCCTTCATCTTTCTCCAATATTTCTGAAATTGCTCTCAAAACCATCCCCTCCGCTTCAAAGGTTCAAATATTGTTTTTGTGTGTGTAGATAATGTATAATCGTGAATTATGTTTTGATATTTATTATTTTCATTTTGCAGATTGAGATTAAGCGGGTTTTAGAATCACTTTACGGGTTCGAGGTGGAGAAAGTCCGGACCCTAAACATGGAGGGCAAGAAGAAGAAGCGGGGAGGTTTATTGATCGCGAAACCTGATTACAAGAAGGCTTATGTGACCCTCAAAAACCCCTTGTCGATAAACCCGGATCTTTACCCAATCCGGATAATTGAAGAGGACAAAAAGAGTTTGAATAAGCAGTCAAAATCGAGCATTGTGGAAGATCCGGAAGCTATGAAGAAGACACATTGGCTTGATGAGAAGAAAGATGACAGGACATTTAAGAGGCCAGAAGGGCGTACATTTGGCCGCCGTGGTGGCAGGGATGGTGATGGAGCAGAGGGCACGAGCTCGGGGGCAAAATTTCCATGGAGCAGCATGAGGTCTTTTGGGAGGTAACATGTATTAGCTGTCGAGGTTTATTTGTGGAGAGCTGAAATGATGGTTAGATATTATAAAATGTCACCGTACCCTTAATGGTGTATGATATTGAAGTAATTATGAGCCTGAGGGATTTTATTGATAGCATTATGGTGCAAAGACGTTGGAAAAATGACGTTTATGTTGTGAACTTAAAGTTCTTTCTGATATTGTTTATTGTTATGGTGATTTGGCATTGTGAAATAAAGATTTGAATTGAATTCAAAGTTGGTTTTGGTTTTCTTTGTTTAGTGGAATTATGATGGTGATTTAATGTGTAATGAAACAGGCAAGAGTTTTTTAAAATCACTATATTTTTATTTTTTCCTATTGATTTCAAATTGAAGAGGATTAGTTTATGATAGATAGAAAGCCAATGTCATTGTTAGATTTCCAATCTATCAATATGCTGGTGAATACGATCTTTGATCAATACATAGATTAGCATGTTGTTCATTAGAAGAAAACAAAATTATGTAGAATATTCTAGCTGGATTGTCTTTATTATTTTTACAATAAATCGATTCTCTCCGAAGCTAAAAAATTGAATAAGAGAGTCAAGGCTTTTGGATTGGAAATATCAAGTTACAGATAAATCTTTAAAAATCTAAAAACTTTGGTTGAACATATAATGGTAATTTTGCAATGACCTGTTTGGTGTAAAGTGTGACAGAAGTAAATCACTTTTGGAGTTCATGAGTAGGTTTTTTGTTGTCTAATTACATTGTTTACTAGCTGTTATTTTAGAATTATGCTGCTTAATGATTTGAATAAGTTGTGAAATGAATTTATATATTTTATTTTTAAGAATTATGCACAGTATGACATGTTTCATTTGATGCAAAGGTTAAGACGTTGCATGATGAAAATTCACTGATATAAGTAGTAGAGAAAACCATGCTTGATTGCGGTTTTGTATTAATAGACGTAACTTTTATAAGGATGAGTGACTAAGGGCTATTGATGCAGTAGGAATAGTAGTGTCAGACATTGATATTTCATTTGCAGAAAAACTTAGATAGCAAAATAGTGCTTGTGATATAAATCTGCCATAAGTTTTTTATTTTGTCCAAATTCCTTGATTAGTCCACTGAAGTGACAATTTTTTCTATCAACTTAAAGACCAAATTTAATTGCTGGGCATACCTTAATAGCTAGTCTTTTTCGATTAAAAATCTATTTGCTTGAATAATTAGTATCTTTTTTCTTACATAATTAATCCAATATATATTAAGTGTGAACCAAATTAATACATGGTGCAGCATGAGGTCTTTTGGGAGGTAATTTGTATTAGTTTTCGAGATATATTTATGGGGAGCGGAAATGATGGTTAGATGTTATAAAATGTCAGTATGTTTAATGGTGTATGATCTTGAAGTAATTTTCGTCCGGGGGATTTTATGATAGAATTATGGTGCAAAGACAATGGAAAAAGAATTATTATGTCGTGAACTTAAGCCCTTTCTGTGTTCTTTAAGTCGTTCATGCTGGTGGTGATTTGTCATTGTGAAATAAAGTATATTATGGAAAATTTTATCCAAGATGTTCGTTTAAAGAGCAAAACTGCTTTTAGTTTACATTCCACAAAATCCAAAGTCAAATGCGTGCAGACCTTCTATTCTACATCCTTTAAGAAAAAAAGATGCAACTCCACGCATTCATACTCAGTTTTTAACTAGAAAAAGAAGTACATAAGAACAACTCTGTGCTAACTGCAGAACCTAATATAATTTGTATTCCGTTTATGAGATGCCCTGGTTCTTTTATTGGTTTTTAATTCAGAGCTTTGGTATGGAATCTTGTATTTGGTTTCGTCAGGCAATAGATTGTCTTCGGCGTAAGCTGCCCCTTTGGTTCTGGAATTTTCTGTTATGACTTTCATCAGTATCTTCCTCATCCATTTTTGTATGAAAAAGAGCAGACTTTCTGATTTTCCGCCATCCTAAAATCCAACCCGATGAGTTTCTTTGCTTAATGATTAGCTTTTCATATTCTTGTTGCAGCTCAGAGTAGTCTTTCTGAAGTTCAGCCATTTGTGACTTTACTTTCTCAAGTTCTGCTTTGAGGGATCTGACTTCTTTCTTTGTAGATGACCAACTAACTTCCTGCTCTGAGATGTCATCACTCTCTGTTTGATTTTTTCCTTGTATTTCCATCCTTAGTTTTGCTTGCTCTGAGAACAAAACCTGTGTATCATCTTTTTGTATGTCAAAGTTTGGAATACAATGACCATTTGTACTAGTAAACAATTGAATTGGATTCAATTGAGTTCATTGGCAAGGATAGATTTATGCTTTAGCCTCCATTTGGGAAGAATTTATAAACAGTTTAATTTATAAATAGATGTAAATGAGTGGTGGATAAGTAGAAATTACTTGTCGGTCCATTGAAATGTGTGGTTGAAAATGAAATTTAACCACTTATAGATGATTTATTAATTTTTCCAAACTAAGGCTTAATTTATTCACGTGAATCTATATTATGCAAATTCTGTTCTCTACGGACACATTGACACTTGGTAATATGTTGCTATGAGCAATTTTATGTCGTTTCAATGCCTATCAAATTTTTTTTTATGTCATTACAATGATTTTTTTGGATATGACTTTCTTTCCATTATTAACAATGTAAAACCTGCTTTTTTTAACTCCTTTTTTTTTCTGGCTTTCTTACAAATTACAATAGTTATAGTTGACGGATAGAAGTTATTTCGGTGATGCAGAAACTTGTCTAACTGTTATTTGTCCTACCACGAATGCTTTCTTTAATAAACTTGATGTATCGTTGAAGCTTCTGTCACCTAGTTCTTTGATTGAGTTCTATTTTAACAAATCACATTCAGATAGATGGGAAAAATGGCACATGAATATATTTTGAAGAGCTAAAGTAACTGATGCAGGTTTTTTTTTTTTTTTTTTTTTTTTTTTTTTCTCGACTGGGATATAGTAAGGGCATGGAATCATTATTGTAAATTACCTGAATCACGGTCCTAAGAGGCAACCTGTCATTTTGTGCAGCATGTGCACATGCATCAAGTGACAGCTTCTCACAATCCATGACTTTACATAGCCTCCTCCTTTCATGTTCTGATAGTGATGGGCGAGTCTACATATTTAGAGCGTCAGTTGAAATTTATTTGATTGAAGAAATTAGGAGCAAAAGAATTCTGGGATCGTAGATAACCTTGAGATAGGTGTCAATGGCTCTATACAAGCCATCATCACAAGCTCGAGCATTTTCTGGCAAGGATTCAGCTAAAACTTGGAAGTTGGTAACTGGGAGATTAGGGTCTTTAGCGATTTCTGCTAGGTAACTGTCTAGGAGTTTACCGATTGCCAACATCCCAGGCTTTTGTGGTTGCTGCTGCTGCTGCTGCTGCTGTTCGTACAACAGGAAATATTCCAAAATCCTTTGCACTATGTTTATATTGTGCATAGTGGGTCCTTCCATTGAACTGGACCTGCCATTGATGAAATTAGGCAAAGGATGTGTGTGGAAGATGTCATTAGTAATAAACTACCAAAGTCGATAATTAAGAAGAGAAGGTAAAAACTCACTTGACCAGTTCCCCTTCGTCCCCTGCTGTATAACTAGGAATCAAAAGATCATTAACGTTGGCATTCTCTAACATCAACCCTATTCTTTTTTCAAGCTCTGAAACTAAAGCTGGTGATGCTGAATAGACTATAGCTACCTTTAACATTTTAGAAAGGAACTTACAAGAAACTGCTTCTTTTTGAGGAGGCAGTATACTCACTAAGCTCTCTATTATCGTTCTTTGCTCCTTTATGGGTCCGATGTCCCCTTCCTGTGTTCTGCCATTTGTAATATTCCATTGCAATTCATTTTTCCCATAACTAAACCTTCCTACTCTGTCAATCTCTACTTCCAGGCTTGGCAACCATTTCTCCCCATATTGCATGATGCAGGAACCTATAATTTCCGGCCTCATTCCTTTTGCTCTTAATGCTGTTATGATTCTTGTGAAATGATCAATTCGAAGTGTAGCCACATCATTGAACCACCACATCTCTTCATTTATTATATCTTGTGTTGTTGAAGTTTGTCGAGAAGCCTTCCAAGCAATTGAGTCACAACATCTCCGAACAATTTGAAGGTTCTCAGCCCATGGAGAGAGAGTTTCACATGATTTAAGGACAGTGATGGAATCTTTCCATGAAGAGAGGACTACAAAAGTGAAGAAAGCTTCTGCTTTGGAGATGAGATTCCCATCTTCGAGTGCTTCTGTCATTTCTAGGAATTCTGATGCACATCTTAGTGGAGCTACATTATTAGGATTCAGACTAATTGGAAGACCGTAGCAAAACTTCAAAACAGCTTCAAATGTTTCTGAACCACCCGGAAAGTTTTCAAGCTTGAGGTCACAACGTAAATTTGAATTTGGAGGCTGAAGTTCGATTCTGCCAAAGTAGCCACACCTGGAAACCAGTGGAAACTGTTTCAGGAGTAAATTGCTGAGGTAAGTATTGGCTGAAGTTATCTTGAGAAAGCGTAACTCAATGAATATTGCTGTAGCTTATTAATAAGAGTGTAAGGTTTGAACTAACATGATAGAAAAAAAAAAAAAAAAAATTGTTAGAACTCCTATTACTCTCCATTTATTAATATGGGTTTGCAAATATAGATCAGAATATACTACTGGTCATTTTGTTTGTCTTATTCTGGAATACTTTTAGAGCTTACTAACTTTTTTTTTCTTCCTTCTATATTAAATTTTTAGCTTAAACTAAGTTGTGTTGTGACTTTTCATTCATTATTATGCATGATGCTCACTTCTGGAGGGACATAAATCTCATTAAACATCATAAGTGGAGAAGAGACTACTAGAATAGGTTTAATCACATGGAACCTCTGTACTTTTATAATTCAAATACTCTAAACTTCCTTGTAAAATTGGAAGGAGTACAATGCACCGAATATGCCAACGGGCAATTATGCATACTTTCAGTAACGCGTACAAATGGTCATTTATGATGTTTAGAATATAACCCTTTCAAGAGATCTTGATTTATTAACTTTTGTATAAATAGTGTTGATAGTTTGTCTTGGATGATTAATGAATATGGTCCGTGTATATATTGTACCTTATGAACATAAAAGGTGATATCTTGAACTTGAATTGAGAGGTCTGTTGGAATTTGAGAAATGGCAAACCTGCATGACAATGCCAGATGTGTTGAGTCACTGAGAATTATATAAAAGAATAAGTAAATATATGAAGAAGAAATGTATCAATATCTGAGATACAGCTCTTTTCTCAGGAATTAAAATGAAAGAAGTCATCAGTATTTGGTAAGAGAGATACAGCTCTTTTCTCAGGAATTAAAATGAAAGAAGTCATCAGTATTTGGTAAGGTAGAATAAACAGCATTGGACAGTATTACATAAGGAAAACAAGATCATTTTTTGTCACAACATGGACTATAGGTAAAATGTTCTACTCATCCAAAGGATTTTAAAGTTGTTACCATGAGTGCTCTTTCTTCTCGAAGCCGTCTGCTTTGGTAATAAGCTTTTCAGGAACTACTATACTTCGATTCTGAACTTCATAGGGGCCATCTGAAGCACTTGCCAGGCTTTGTGGCTGAATGGAAAGCTTCATGGTGCTTTTTTCTGGATCTTGCTGCATGCTTGTAAGTTATGGGAAATTCTTTAACTCGTTCCTTAAAGGAAGAATGTAATGAGTGGGACATGGCCTGAGTAAATGCTTGAGAAGGAAGTTTGTGGTGGAATAAAACCTGTCAGTGAAGTATTATTGATGGGGCAGTTGAGTGGTTTATTAAAATGTCTTTTCCAAGTGGGTGTCGTGAGAAAGAGGGGCAAATGAGGTAATGCTCTATGCCCAGGTTGAACAGACAGAATGTTGGCTTATGATACGGCCCATTCAAATTATACCACGTAGTTGCAAGCTAGACCAATAGATGATTTTGTGGTTTTTAGGATGCTCATTGCCAAGTATCAACCGAGGCCGATTGATCCAGCAATAGCACGTGAGATTGAGCATCTTGTTGGGATGGCTTTCCCTGAAATTTGTACGTGTGAATTTGACTTTATTTCCTACATCTCTGGGTTCCTTCTCGACTTCGAGGGGTCATTGATAGACTACTATTAGTTGCAAATCACAATATAGACTACAATAAAATTCTTATCAAACATACATAAACAAGCTATAAGGGGGTACGACCCCATATTGATAGTTTGGAACTTAGGCCATGTTTGATTGACAAATCTTTTCCATTCCATTTTCCCACTTTCAAGTGTTTGATATGGTGTTGTTTTTTTTTTTTTTTTTTTTTTTTAAAAAAAAAAAAGGTGTTGTTTTTTTTTTTTTTTTTTTTTTTTAAAAAAAAAAAAGGTGTTGTTTTTTTTTTTTTTTTTTTTTTTTATATTTGCCATGGAATTCAAGTTCCATGTTTTCTTGGACTTTGGACTTTTCTAGCTTTTTAGGGAAGGAATTGATTTTCCCGATTACTTTAGCATATATATATATATATATTTTATTGGTTGGCAAAGTTAACAAATTCTAAGAATTATTGTAAAAAAATATTTTCCTTTAATTGACAATTTTCATATAAAACAAAGACAAACGAACACAAAAAAGATAGATGATTTTCTTGAATTTTTTGTTTTTTTAGCAATGGAAACAAATTTCATCTTCAACACCAGTAAATTCTATCTCTTTAATCGACAATTTTCATGTAAAATAAAGTCAAACGAACATAAAAAAAAAACACTTTTATTTTAACATTTTCCACGTGGAAATTTATACCAATCAAATACAATAATTTACAATTTTCACGAAAATAATTTTTAGGCAATTCAATTTTTTGAAATTCGTTTTCAATTCAATTCAATTTCATATTTGCAATCAAACGGACCCTTAGAGCATAAAGTCGGATGTCAATTCCGGTACAGCGCGACACTTTGATTAGGTAACTAGAGGTTTTATTACCATTCCTGCTTATTTTAGTAGTGTTGGAAAAATAATTAGTAGCTGTAATTTGAATAGCAGTAAAATACAAAAATTAAAACATATTGATTGATGAGTTTCGTGACAGTATGATATCCTAAAGTGAAATTGTCAACCATTAATTGTTGCAATTTTTGTGGGTAACTACTCTCAGATATAACGATCAAGCACATATATATAATTTTAATCAAGAAAGCTTAAGTTGATCTAGCCCCAAGGTCCAATTGTGTGTGGGATGTGACCTGAACTCTCGACCTTCCACAAAAATTTAGCACTTTCCGCCAATTGGTTTCTTCATCGAATTAGTTATTCTTTCACATAGTATGTTTATTGTATAGATATCTAACAAGCAGATTGCTTGGGTTTGAGTTCATCATATTGGACTGAAAAGCCAGTGTTAATAGGCTATGTGATGTTAAGAACTCTCTTGGCCCTCATCACTAGTGTATGTTTGCCAAGAGCTTCAAATTTAATGATGGATATTCCTTGAAATTGCAATAGGATGATCTTTGGGGGGACATTATGTTCCAATTTTAGTAAATTTTCCGTTCACCACAGCACCAGTAATGTAACTTATATGATGTTTCAAGTTTCTTGCACATAAATTTTCAATGTAAGGTTTCATTCACTTGATTGTTAAAAGTCACGTGACACATAACCTGTCACCATCCCTTAATGCTCCCCAGCTAACGAGGTACACACTTAACCTCGATGGAATATAGATTTTAGGAAAAAGAGTTGACGACTTTCTCCATCCCTTAATGCTCCCCAGCTACCCCTGCTGCTCCTCCCTCTAACCACTTCGGCTCAACCTACACTTCCTTCGACTTCCACGATCTATGTGAACTTGGATCGGCGCTTTGAGAGGAGAAAGAAATGGAGAGAAACTTGATTTTTACTTCTTCCTTTTTTTTCTTTTTTTTTTTTTTAAATTAATTATTATTTTTATTATTTATTCTTCTATTTTAATTGAAAATAAAGGTCCACAATTCGTCAACACAAATCTGACTTCTAAAATGGTGAAGTATAATGAAAACCATTATTTTGGGGCTCAAGTGCAACTAAAGGTTGGGGAACTAAAGACTGAAAATTTTTCAAAAAAATAATTTTCTTTCGCTGTATGAAATATTTTCTACCAATTACTAATTAGAATATGTTACTTGTATATAATGCGATGTTTATCATCTTACATGGAGGGGAGACTCACTTTGAACTCTCTTCCACGTGAGGGGTTGTACACCGTTATGGACACTCTGATGTACATGTAACATAATCCTCACTAATTTTTATGTAATATGACACATGATGAAGTCTTCCACTCAAAGTATTCGAGTTGTGTAGCTCATATAGTAAGGCTTTATGT